CCTGTAAACTCACCTGGGGCAAGTAACAGGTGTGGGCAATATAGAAATCACACCTGAAAATATAGAAATCACACCTGCAGATAAAAAGGAGAGACGTTCACTTAACCTTTGCATTGTGTGTCTGTCTGTGCCACACTAAGCATGGACAACAGAAAGAGGAGACGAGAACTGTCTGAGGACCTGAGAACCAAAATTGTGGCAAAATATCAACAATCTCAAGGTTACAAGTCCATCTCCAGAGAACTAGATTTGCCTTTGTCCACAGTGCGCAACATTATCAAGAAGTTTGCAACCCATGGCACTGTAGCTAATCTCCCTGGTCGTGGACGGATGAGGAAAATTGATGAAAGATTGCAACGCAGAATAGTCCGGATGGTGGATAAGCAGCCCCAAACATGTTCCAAAGACATTCAAGCTGTCCTGCAGGCTCAGGGAGCATCAGTGTCAGCGCGAACTATCCGTCGACATTTAAATGAAATGAAACGCTATGGCAGGAGACCCAGGAGGACCCCACTGCTGACACAGAGACATAAAAAAGCAAGACTACAGTTTGCCAAAATGTACTTGAGTAAGCCAAAAGCCTTCTGGGAAAACGTCTTGTGGACAGATGAGACCAAGATAGAGCTTTTCGGTAAAGCACATCATTCTACTGTTTACCGAAAACGGAATGAGGCCTACAAAGAACAAAACACAGTACCTACGGTAAAATATGGTGGAGGTTCAATGATGTTTTGGGGTTGTTTTGCTGCCTCTGGCACTGGGTGCCTTGACTGTGTGCAAGGCATCATGAAATCTGAGGATTACCAAAGGATTTTGGGTCGCACTGTAGGGCCCAGTGTCAGAAAGCTGGGTTTGCGTCCAAGATCCTGGGTCTTCCAGCAGGACAATGACCCCAAACATACGTCAAAAAGCACTCAGAAATGGATGGCAAAGAAGCGCTGGAGAGTTCTGAAGTGGCCAGCAATGAGCCCAGATCTAAATCCCATTGAACACCTGTGGAGAGATCTTAAAATTGCTGTTGGGAAAAGGTGTCCTTCCAATAAGAGAGACCTGCAAAGGAAGAGTGGTCCAAAATTCCGGGTGAGAGGTGTCAGAAGCTTATTGATGGTTATAGGAAGCGACTGATTTCAGTTATGTTTTCCAAAGGGTGTGCAACCAAATGTTAAGGGTGCCAATACTTTTGTCCAGCCCATTTTTGGGGTTTTGTGTGTGACATTAACTTTTCTGCCTCTGTTTTATATTTGTTCCAATACATACAAAGGGAATAAACAGTGTATAGCAAAACATGTGTTAATGCAATACCTTTTTTGTGTGAAATACTTGATTTTCAGGAAAAATATCAAGGGTGCCAACAATTTGGCCATGACTGTAGTTCACCCCTGAAACCTGCACTGTGCAATCCTGATCCCTCTACCTGTTTGTAGTACACACCTGAACCCTGCACTTTGTACATAGCGTACCCTGAACCCTGCACTCTGTACGTAGCGCACCCCGAACCCTGCACTCTGTACATAGCGTACCCTGAACCCTGTACTCTGTACGTAGCGCACCCTGAACCCTGCACTCTGTACATAGCGCACCCCTAACTATCTAACTAAACCCTGCACTCTGTATGTAGCGCACCCTGAACCCTGCACTCTGTACATAGTGTACCCTGAACCCTGCACTCTGTACATAGCATACCCTGAACCCTGCACTCTGTACATAGCGCACCCTAACTACCTAACTAAACCCTGCACTCTGTATGTAGCGCACCCTGAACCCTGCACTCTGTACCCTGCACTCTGTACATAGCATACCCTGAACCCTGCACTCTGTACATAGTGCACCCTAACTACCTAACTAAACCCTGCACTCTGTACATAGCATACCCTGAACCCTGCACTCTGTACATAGCGCACCCTAACTACCTCTAAACCCTGCACTCTGTATGTAGCGCACCCTGAACCCTGCACTCTGTACCCTGCACTCTGTACATAGCATACCCTGAACCCTGCACTCTGTACATAGTGCACCCTAACTACCTAACTAAACCCTGCACTCTGTACATAGCGTACCCTGAACCCTGCACTCTGTACATAGGGCACCCTAACTACCTAACTAAACCCTGCACTCTGTACATAGCACACCCTGCATTGTGTACATAGAGCACCCTGAACCCTGCACTCTGTACATAGCACACCCTGAACCCTGCACTCTGTACATAGCGCACCCTGACTGAACCCTGCATTCTGTACATAGCGCACCCTGACTGAACCCTGCATTCTGTACATAGTGCACTCTGACTGAACCCTGCACTCTGTATGTAGCGCACCCTGAACTCTGCACTCTGCATGTAATGCACCACTGAATCCTGCACTCTGTACAGAGCACACCCATGAAACCTGCATTCTGTACTTAGCACACCCCTGAATTCTGCACTCTTTGTGTAGCGAACCCTTGAACTCTGTACTCTGTATGTAACACACTCCTGGTATTTAATATCCCTTTAAAACCCTCCTACTGCAGTTTGGCCACACCCACTGGTTTGGTGGGAAGGGGGGGGGGGGGCATGGTCGAGTTTCTGCACTTATTCTTTGGAAAAAAAAGCCCTGGGAGCCACTGATGTTAAAAGACACCTGCACCTTCAGGCCTCATGCACACTTGAGGTCAAAAACGCCTGTTTTTTTTTTTCAGCGTCTTGAGTTTTTTTTCTGCCTCTAAACTACCCACCATGTGAATATATATGTCCATGGATACATAGGCGTTGACATGAGTTTAGAGGCAGGGATGTTTAGAGGCAGAAAAAAAAAATCACTTGCATGTTCTGAAGTGGAGCGTTTGGGCTGAAGAAAATGTGCAAACGCTAGGCGCATTTGCACGTTAATACATTCTATAAGCCAGAATTAACTATTCTGGCCAATAGAAAGCATTATCATCAAATGTGTGAACGTGCATAATTGCCTGTGAACACGCAGAAGCGTGCATGCAAAAAAAGTTGCTTTTACCACATTTTTTCTACCGCAAGCACCTCCAAAGCTGCAATGATGGCCCCTCTGTTTGAAAATATTGGTTGTTTGCTCGATTTGCTGATCTAATGTTTTCAATATCTTTACTCAAAAGTATAGATTAGGAGTTTGCACCAACTTTAGTTGCATGTTTGTTCTGGGTTAGAGGGTGACAAGCTCTGTTGTGCTTCAGCTAAGTGATGCTGCATGGTGATTGTACTTTACTGCTCTGGTCTTTTGATTCATACCTATAAGTCCATTCACAAAAAAAGAAAACTATACAATGTTTAGGTCATTTTTCTTGTATAGCAGTCATTCAACAGAGATGCTAACAACTATATATGACATACAAATATCCAGTAGTAGGAGAACACTCATAACACAACCACCACACTAGAGAACAACAAGCAAGTAAAAATTAAAACGACCCAGAAATAATGACTCTTAAGTAAAATAGATTTAAAAAAATATACCACACATATTGTAATAGCAGAGTATTGTACCGTGTTCAGTTGGGTATGCATATTCATTTTTTTTTTGCTCAACAATGTGTGATGCCAGATCTCTCCCTGTGTGCTCTTGTATTCTGACAGGGGTACTCCTTTGGCCAGAATACACTGGTCAGCCATTGGCTGCAAGCGCTGATTGAATGCTGGTTTTCCAGCAAGGCTGTTTGTCAGAAGCCGGTCATTAGACCAGCCTCTGTTGAACAGACAGCAGTACACATTTACTGTACTGAAAGCCAGCCAGGTTCCTGCTGATTCCTCTTCTGCTAGTAGAAATCCTCTTCTCAATTCATGCTCCCTCCACCACTGCCACCATAATCTTCTAGTGCGGCAGGGGTTAATACCACTAACGGACTGTCACAGTCTCTTATCAAGAGTGTCTAATTATACTCGCACTTTCCACCCAGCCCTACTAAGCTTCAATGAATGGAACAGTATCTATGAATGAAGGATGGGTGCATGATTGATGGGTGTTCCTCCTCCATTCACAGATTACGTTTTATTCAAGCACAGCTTCTATGAATGGAGCGGTAGGGCAGCAAGAATGGGCAAAGTTAGACTCTCTTGATTAGAACTTGTGACAGCTCTTTAGTTGTATTAACCACCGTTGCACTGGAAGTTTTACAGAAGTGTGGGTGTGGGCATGGACAGAGGAGAATTTCTACTAATATAAAAATCAGCACAAGGGATATCCCTTTGGGATATAGTTTCACACATAACATCAAAAGTGCTATGTAATCAATATAGACATGACATGAAAAAAAATTAAAATCACATTAAAGCCTACATTTACAAAAAGAAAAAACATTCCTCCAGTAAACAGTCAAAATATAATCTTGTAAATGAAGAATGTGGGCCCTGAACTGGCTGGATGAGTGTTCCATGCTATCCTCGCATCCCTTGCAGTACCAGTATTGTAGGAGGGGGCAGTACATTTGAGAGGGGGGTGGAGGCAGGGACAGTGCAAGGCTGGCTCCCCTCTAGTATGAGCCAGTAGATGTCAATACCGTACTTTCCATGAGTAGGTGTTCTGCTTCACCAAAAGCCTATATGGTTGTTTAAAACATCCAGGAGTGGGCACTGGACCTGCTAAGTGACAATGCTATGCCATAGATGTCCTTCTGTTTCTAGAGAAGGTTATCTGCATACATTTCAAAGGGAGCATTGCCATCCCTTTATACTGTTCTCTAGCGAAGACATCTCAGTAATTTCACGTTTCTAGTATCAGCTAATAAATAAATAGTGCTCTCTAACCCCTCTCCAAAATGGCCCAATTTTTAGCATTGTTAGGGAGGCAATAGTTAGCCCAGCTTTGATCACAAAAATAGCAGCTGGAAGCTCGCTGGTGATTTCCGAGGACAGGGTTTTCAGCACAATGAGTTACTTGTCAGATTTACAGCAGTAATTGGAAAAATGAATCAGGCACACATTGACAACATCAAACAAATCATGAGAATCTACAGGCTTCCCAATTAATGATGTCAAATTAGCAAACACACACGCCTACCTGGAACATGGAAATGTCTGGGCGCCTGCTGATAGGACGAAGATGTGGATTTGGTGTCTGAGCACATAGACAAGCTGGGGGTACTCCGACCACTTTCACTGCCTCCATTGAAAAAAGCAAAGAGAACAAATAAAACCAAAGTCTGAGAACAAAGTCATGTGTTTCACCTTATACATTATAAAGCGCTGGCAGCTTGTATGTATTAATACAGCCATTCTTAACCAGGATTGCATGGTACTCTAGGGTTCCTCCATAGGTTGTTACGGGTTCCCTGAGCTATGGCTGATTAACTTCCCATTTGATGGTGCCTGTATAATTCCAGGACAAACGCCCCTTGGCATAGCCAGCAGTGTGACACCAACCACTTTTCTAGCTCTCTGTAAGGGTGGCATTCTGATCACCAGTGTAAGGAGGTCCTATTGAGCACCAATGTAGGGTGCATTTTTGCCACTGACCTCAACAAACTGGTTTTAGTAAGGAGTCTATAAATTATTTAAGGGCTTATTTGGGGTAAAAAGATTGAGAAACGCTGCGTAATATGTAAATCCACCTTCATGCTTCATACATCTGATAATATAAGGATCAAATAATGAGAGCATAAAATAAGTAAGACAAACTTTCTAAACTTTTGTAACTTCTGAGGCTTGTTCACAGACGGTGAGGGCACCAGTGCTCTCCACCACCCAGCAGGTCAGTACAGAGTTACCTTCTTAAACGCAAACCTACCACTGGCCATATACTGCTGTTGATGCCATCACCTCCTTTGACTGTACAGGCTTTTCATTGATGTAACATTGATTCTTATTAAACGGTATTAGTTTCCTTTTAAATGATTTTATCTGATTTATTGTAACTGTGAAGTGCAAGGTACACTGTTTTCTTTCCTGTAGTCTTCTTAGCACTGTATTCTATTATCTACACATTTGATTGTGTTCTAAGCATAGTATTGTGAGAATAGAATAAAAAAAAAAAAATGGTACTCCAAGAGAGATTAAAATATACAAAGTTAGAACATCTGTCAGATATTTATTGGTATCTGTTTTTTTTTCCATTGGAGAGACTTTTCCTCACTTCGTACGTGGATAAATCGGGAGGCAAGGGGTGCCCTCCCTTGGAAGGGTGCAGACAACAAAATAACCTGACAGAGGTTATAACTTTTACCCCATGGATTCAACACTGAAAAAAATCTTTGGCCGAAGTTCCACTTTCATTGGCCAAAGCCATTCCAGCCATTCCATTGCATGTGAAGCTGATCAGTGGTGGGTTAACAGCTAGATTTTAGGAGCCTCCAATCTGCTTCTTGGCATCTCCTAAAGAACAACTAGACAACTGTGCTTTTAGGTTAAACTTCTCCAAAGCCCTACTCCCCCACACCCTTCCCAAATAACCTGTACTAACATCCCCTCACCCCAGTTCCTTACTAGTGTTCTGTGCGCTGCTTACTTCTCCAGCAATAATCCCCTGGTTGCATCTGCCCCATAGGTGGCTTTAGATGGATCAAAATTCGGCCAGTTAAGCAGCGACCAGTAAAATTTTGATCCATGTGTGGTCACTGTAGCTGAACAGAAGTTGATCTACCAAATGACTTCTATTCAACCGCTATGTCAGATGAAAGCCGCTTGATCAGCGACTGCAGCGCTGATTTATGTATTCTGACAGCCAAGGAATCCACCCGCTGTCAGAATACAATAGCGCAGCACGAAGGATTCCTCCATCCACCTCAAATGTATGGATTGGGAATCGGTTCAGGCTGAATGAAAATAACTGAACAATGTATGGTCAGCTTAAAACCTCAAAGACTTGTATGTGGGTGTCCTGGACACTGGTGCTGCATCACTGGACAGTCCCATACAAGTCTACAAGAGCTCAGTTCAGGTAGATGCAACTTAGCTTCAGAAGTAAGATAATAGGGTAGGGGGTGTTAGTGTAGGTTAGTTCAGGAGGGTGTTCTATAGTTTTGTGCTGCATTTCCTAGTTTCATTCAGATGCCAATCAAAAGAAATAAGACTGCAGCACACCCCACTGTTTTTAACATGTTGCATGCATTTTACCACGCACTAATGCAATGTGATAGAATGAATTGGGACAGCTTCATTCAATGTTCAAGGCAAGGATGCAGAACTATGCCCCTCTCCCCTGCACCTATTGCATGCCATAGAATAGGAGTGTCACCCTGTGCCCATTCTCTACCCCCCTTGTTTTGGCTGCACATGGTTGGCATGAAGTATGCACTGCACATGTGTCACTGATTGCTTGTTTTCATAGCAGCTAAAAGGTAGTTCCAGGTGCACAACATGTTTTTTTGTATAGGCAGTGGATGGATAGGACGGAGAGTGGGCATGTTGTAGAACAGTGTGACAGCAGTAGCTGTCAGAGTAGACATGAGGTGGTGGCCCACTGGATACCAGCCACTGAAATATGCATGTGGTGAGAGGGTGCCCTCCCATCACAGCACCCAGGGCAGCTGCCCTCCTGCCCACCCCTTGTCCCAGCTTTGGCACTGACATCATGTGTGATCATTTTAAGCATACATAATTTTATGTTTATTAATAACTAGTAATCTAGATTGCACAATAATTAAATTGTTGAAACTGTTAGAGAAGTTGAAGATCTATTGAGAATAACAGCAAGCAAGTATTTTAAAGCATCATTCTTTCATTAATTAATAGGATTAATGAAAAGTATGTTTATTTAAAATAAATCAGAACTTCCAGGCCTTAACAACGTGATAAAAATGAGGTCTGCTTGTGCCCCTCTCCCTGGTAAATGTCACATTGATTATATATTAATGCTTAACCTTAATTGGGATTCTGTCTGCAGCTCACTGGACCTCCTGTGGCTTCCTTCTTCCCTGTGCTATTAAATGATTCCATCTTCCACAGCCTCTACAGTCTTGTTTAATTAAAAAAAAACATTAATGCAATTTTATCTGCTATTTAACTCTTTACGAGTCCTAAGAAAAAGGCTTTTTGTTTCACTTAACCTTAGCACTGCAGTTAATAGCACTTACAGAATATGCCTGCTATGTGCTCAGCTACTTCTGGATTCTACAATGCTCTAAAGTGAAAATGTATCTCAAGCCAAAACGTTTTTTAGTTATGGACAGAGTAGGGAAGGGCTGGCAAGCCTATTACGTTTTATTGCTGTTTTTGTCCCGGCTAGGGGTCTATACCCTACCTCCATCTCCATTTGTGTTGGAGACTATTGTCAGCAGAACTAAGGGCCAATTCAGACTGTCCCACCATGAAATCACAGAGCAGCCTGAGCGATTCACCGCTTCAGCTGCTCTGCCTTGCCGCTGTGCTAGGGGGCAGTGTGATGCCCAATTAATCACATCAAACTGCTACCATTTTTTTGTTTTGTTCTAACTTTATTTAAAGTGCCTAAAACATACATTTCATTCACTGCAATGTCAGGCTGGTGCACTGCAATAAAATGCAGCATGTCTGCGCTAGGCTACCACCATGTGTGATTTGGCCCTAAAATTCAAAATTTTGAGCTGTTATTGGGACAGGAACAGAAAGTGAGTCTTCAAATCAGGACATTTATTGCCGTGTCAATTAAGATGAATTTCCCTCACTTCCACACCTGTTTGATGCTGCAGCTATCCCACGTCAGCTATAAGACCAAAAACGAAGCAATCACCTGATCGTTGCTAGCTCAATTCTTGGTCTGCTCTGAGCAGAGAGCAGTGACTGTCAGTCACCGCTCTCCACTCTGCTCTTCCAGCACTCGCTCTATCATAGGGCAGGAGAGGGGGTGTTCACTGCTGGCTCTGGCTCTCAATCATGCACTGAAAGGAGGAGCCAACTCTCAATCAGGCAGCAGGGTGGATCCCAACAATGTTGTCAAGATTATTCTGGCTCCAGTCCCTCAGCTGATAGTGGGCAATAACTCACAATCAGCTGACTGTGAGTCACAGGAGGGCAAAACTAATTTTACTCCTGTGACCATCCAGACAAGTATAATCAAAAAAACTTTGGTCATGCTACTGTTTTAAAGATTGTTATGTTACAGCCTGTGCCATATTTCCCATTATACCCTGCCCCTAAAATGGATGAGGAAATCTCCAAAATAGAGACACAACCTAGTATATGCCTTCTCTACTTTGTCTACAACTAAAAAAAGTTTTAGAGTTTTCCTTTAACTGATGAGAAATACCCAAGTAAAGCTGATTTCTAACATTACATGTAGGTGGCTATATGATTCAGAAAATAAACTTTAATAAAATCTCACTGACAGTCTGACTCATCCCCATTCCACCTACACATTTTTGTAACTGTAGTCCTGAAATCAAGGGAGGTGTGAAGTGACAGTAACTGCTAAAGACCCCACTCATTAATATCCACCCAGCAATTATCTGTATCTAACAAAAAAATGCACAATGGAAGTGATAACAGTGCAATTATAACAGCAATGCCTGGAAGGTAGAGGAGTACTAGGCCCAGCTACGGTTTTATCAAACATTCACTGAAGGCTTGTATCAGTGATTGTTGGGTTTACAGAGCAACTGATAATCACATTTTATATAAAAAGAGCTGATCCAGCTGCCATTACGCTTCCACAGTAGCTGATCCTGAATTAAAGCTGGTAAACACTATATATTTTTTTTGCTAAACTCAGCAGGTTGAGCGAAGAAAAAACTTGAGAGATTGCTGGCTGGATGCTGGTTTTCCAGCATACCCCTTCGACAGAAGCTGTTCATGAGACTAGCTTCTTTAAAGCACACAGCTGTACAAATTGGCTGAAAATTGTCCGGCTTCTGCTGAACCGGGCGATTTTTGTCCAGTGTGTACAAGGCTTAAGGCCTGTCTTCCTCTAAGTGCAAAAATAATCCAAAGTTTCATAGAACATTCAACCCCAAATTTAGGGTAGTTTTAAATAGATATAAGAAACATGTGTTGGGTGCTCTGAAAATACTGAACCAACTCTTTGCAAACTACAATACAACCTTAAACATTTTTAGTAAACTTTGAATAAAAGCAGAGATTTTTTGTTCATCCATATTGCAATACATGTTCAAGCTGGCTAACTGTGTCAACGTAATCTCTCTCTGGCCAGTCCATACTCTACTCTGCATAATGAAAAATACTTACTTGTTA